ATGGCTCTAGAGCATAGCAGCACGCATGGCTCTAGAGCATAGCAGCATGCATGGCTCTAGAGCATAGCAGCACGTATGGCTCTAGAGCAGTAGCTGAGGGCTAGGCCTGATCTGCAGGCAGCAGACAGAGACACTGGGTGTGATAATGGCCTTTTTGAAACCACCCCTAGTGTGACACACTTCTTCCGACAAGGCCACACCCCCTCAGCCTTCTACTCCTTCTCAAGGGGTTCTACTCCCTGGTGACTAAGCATTCGAATCTATGAGACTGTGGGATCCATTCTTTGAACCACAACAGTGGGCATCATCCACTCAGTGGAAACTGATGTAGACCCACTGTCCTTCTCTGTGGCTAACACTCTTCTGTACATCCTCTCAGGCCGTCAGAGCCCAGGGAGGAGGAAGCTTCCCAGACACATGGCCTGAAGCTGGAAATTACCTTGTTTGGAACGAAGGCTAGGTGTCATCTTCCCTCTGAGTCTGTCTTGGCTCTGGTGTCAAAGGGTTGTCCTGGAGTAAACTTGACTCCTGTCCTCCCAAGGACAACTAAAAGTAAAAGTGACTTCTCCCTGGAAGTGATGGAACAAGAGAAGTCCCCGATCAGCCACCTGGTCATGTGCTGCTTGAAGGAACATTTTAAATGCTCAGAGCTCTCTGGACAGACCTGGGGAACCCATAGCCGAGGGTGTCAGGAAGGACATAGTACGTCCTGAGTGTGGCCACCACATACCCACTGTTGGGCATTTCCTGTGGCCTCTAGCCTTTCCCTTTCAGGAATTGTTTGTTCCTGTTGGTAGCTCCTCATTCATTTATACCTTCAGTGAGAACCAGTCATTTGCTCCGTCAACCCTCCTGAGCATCAGCTCAGAGGACGTCCTGACAGTGCCCCTAGGATGTCATAGTTTAGGGGTGCTGGGCTAAGTTGCATCAAGTACTGGCCCCATATAGACTGCTGGTCCCAGGATTGGGTTTCTGATGAGCTCCTCTCTCTTGTTCCCCCTGGGGACGTCAATATACCTGTGTTCTCTTCCCAGCCGCCTACTGGCCGCCCACCATCCCGGGAGATGGATTACACTGCCTACCCGTGGTAAGTGGATTGTGGGCTGCAGTACTGGGCATTTGGTGGCCTCTGTGTCTTATGGTATGGCCCTTTAAGTCCATGAGCTGGCCTTGCACAGGGAGAATTGAGCCCTACTTTGGCTATTTCTCTGTCTCTAAAACAGATCAGCAGGCTCCAATGTGTATGGTAATGAGTCCTTTTCTATGCAGGCTTCTCTTTGCTTCAATCACGGAAGCGATAGAAAGTGATGTTTCTAATCTAGTCTAGTTTGTAATCGTGCCTTTGGTGAGAAGAGGCACTGCGTTACATGGAAGGATGAAGGTGGGTGTTTTGGGTACTGTTACAGATCACAAGTCTTGGCCTGATTCTGTTGATTCTGTCCCAGATGGGCCCAGTACCTAGAAGAACTTGTCCTCAAAGCCGCTTTGCCCCATGTGGGCAGCGTACAGACCACTAAACCAGATGGGCTCGTTCCCCAGTTCAGGCCAGTATCCCTAACCTCACATGTGGCATTTGCGGATCTCCAGGTCCTTGCCCCTCTGAGCACCTCAGTGTCTGTCCCTTGCATCTCTCTAGGCTCACTGGGCCTGCTGCGTGCATGCCTACCCTGACGGCTCTGGCCTGCAGATAGCACATGGCTGCTGACACAGAGATTATGTGGTTTTCACTTGATGGAGTGAAAGGTTTCTTCTGGCTCACAGTTCTGGGCACAGAGTATCACAGGGCGTATGAGGCAGCTCTTCACAGTGCACCCCAATCAGGAAGCAGAGGGATGAACTAATGCTGGCTCAGCTTGCTTTTTCTCTTTTTTCAGTCTGAGGGCCCAGCTCATGGGATGGTGCCCGCCCGTCCACATGTGGGCTGGGACTTTCCACCTCTGTTAGCTTAATCATGGTAATCGGATTCTCAGACATCCAGAGATTTGTTCCCATGGTGATTCAGGTTGACAGTGAAGATTAACCACCACACAGTTATTTTTAAATTAGTTTTTCTCCTTTGACAACTCCAGACATGTATATAGTGAATTTTAGTCACTGTGTCCCCGTGACTCTCCATTGCCCCAACTTCTCCCCAGCTGGTTCTTCCTAGTTTTGTATCTTCTGTATGACCACTGAGTTTAGTTAGGTTTGCCTGTAGAGCACTGTGGGAGGGAGTCTGCTTTGTTGTTGTTGTTGTTGTTGTTGTTGTCTTTAGAGTATGGGCAACCTACTGGTAGCTACCACTAAAGAAAGTGTCATGCACCACCCCCCACCCCTCCCAGCCACCAAGAAATTTAATGTATTAACCCCAGATCTACCCTAACTGTGCATACTGAAGACTAAGCTCACGGTGTCACGCTGGGAATGTGGGGGTTGCTTTGCTGAGGGGCCAGTTTCCCCGACTCACTATCCACTTGTTTGTTTGTTTTTGTGGTAGGAAAAGCCTGATTTTCTCAGTTGTCATTCAGCATGGATGTTGACCTCCTCCAGAGTGTCTCTCCTAAAATGCCCCATCATCTCTTCATCTCAGATAGTGCAAAGAATTTAGAAAATGGCCGTCTGGTAGAAGTTTGTGATTCGAACAGTTCCCCCACCTGGCTGTGAAACTCTTATCTCTCTCCTGTGACATCTTTACCAGCTACCCTTGTATGCTTGACTTGAGGTGCTGGTCCCAACTTTGTGCCCTGCGTATCAGGATATGGCCACACACCCCTGCCCCCATCAGTTACCTGTCTACTCACCTCAGAGGTTCAGAGAAGGAGCAAAGCCCAAGACAGGTGACACACACATACCAAGGGCACCATTCCGTCAGCGTTGTGTCTCAGCTCTGGTTTCCTGACCCCAGGTTTGCTGGCAACATGGAACGGCAGCAGACAGACAATCTGCTCAAGTCTCATGCCAGTGGGACCTACCTCATCAGAGAGCGTCCAGCTGAGGCCGAACGGTTCGCCATCAGTATCAAGTGAGCAACTGCCCCGGGCCCATGAATGTTCCTCCTGAGCCTGCTACTGAGGGGATGGAGCGGAGCTTCCCTCTGATGCCCAGGCTAGAAAATCTCAGACAAGATGGAGGCAGAGGACACAGGCTAACCATCAGGTCTCCTCATGACAACTGGGTGCAGCTTGCAAGTTCAGGGCTCCATGGCCACATCATGCAGCTTAGGGCTGGGTTGTGTGTTTTCAGAGACAGATGGGCTGGTGGGACACTGGGAAGTGCCATCAGGAATGTACTGGCAGCCAGTCTAGTGAGTCTTAGGCAGGATGTACCCTTCGTGCTGCTTTGTGGCATCTGGGGACCCTCAGAGACCTTCAGCAGTGCCCATGGTAGCCCTGTAGCTTGGTCCTACACATCCTTGGTCTGGGCATCTTTCCTCAGATAAAAAATAAACAAGGTCTGGCAGTTTGTTTTCCTCAGCCTAGGACACCCATGGGCACAAGTCTTAGGCCTGTTACTAGGTGTTTAATTTGCTATGATTCAGTGGAGTTCTGAGAGTCCTAAGCAGGGTGCCTGTGTGTGGGAAAGGTCATCTTTGGTCTTCTGGGAATTGGGTTGAGGCAAGCCATAGTGAGACAGCCTGGACACTCCTGCTGCAGTGACAGAAACTGAGAAAGGATGCCGGTGGGTGCAGGAATGCTTCATAGCCCCTTGGGCAGGTTCGCACTAGGCTGTGCAGGACAGCCATAGGACCTAAACACAGTACTTTCTCCTCTTCCTTTGGGGTATGTTTCTTCTACCTCTGCGCTGGGTTGGGGTTCAAAGCTTGCCTCTGCCAAGCATCTTGGGCTACACAGTCTAGCCCAGGCAGGTGCACACAGCTGGTCCACGCATCTGACATTGAGGAAGACTTCAGTGGAAGGATACCACTGCAGCATCTCAGGCCAGGGCCCTGCTTTACCAGACTGCTGTCAAGGAACTCCCAAGGGGAAGAGGGGTGGAGACAAGAATCTGTGGAGCTAGACAGGGCTAGAGCTGGGCAAGAGGCCCCCAGGTCTCCCCACTTCAGGAAGGTCACACTGCCAGGAGCCATCACTTTCCCAGAAGTCCTATGATGTTCAGGGTCTAAAGAAATTCATAGCCTATATCCAGCCCCACACAATGATGTGGCAGCTGTCACACCCACCTACCAGGAGTGTCCACAGTGCCTTGTGTCTGCCCAGCCTTTAGGACACCACAGTGGCAATTCTATTGGTCTGGCTCATAGCACATGTTAAAGCCACGTGAACACGGGTAGGTGCCTACAGTGACCCTGTGGGGTGACGCTTGATTACTTGTTAGTTCGGTGTTTCCTTTAGCCAATTTCAGGATATTGAACCAACCTTGCATTTGTAGGCTGTCTCCCCAACCCTCAGCACTGTTCAGTCCTTGTTACATGTTTGGGTCACGTGCAGACATATTTAGGGACATAGGTTCTCTTGCTTCACCGACTGGGTTCCTACGCCCACAGACATCAGGACCCTGGCTTGAGATCTCTGTCTGCATGCCATGTTGAACCTTGGTATTGCCTCACGTGGGCTGGGCTGTCATTTAGGGGAGCCTTCTGAGGCTCTCTAGGTTGGGTACACTTGAACTAAACATGATAATAGTAGGTGAGGGTGGGGGCAGCTGGCTCCAGGACCTGGTGGACTTACGCTCCGTGCTTTTGGAGCCACCTAGAGGGGGCTAGGGGCTGAGGTCAGAGTCGGTAGTGGGGACTCTGGATATGACTTAAAGCAGACAGGGAGAGCTATGGAAGATCTGCTCAAATGGATGGGCCAAGGGCTGGAGAAGCGGCTGGCCAGGAAGGGCTGCAGAGGCATTATAGACGTCTAGGTCCGGATCTTTGCTGAAGCAGATCTGGAATAAGCCTGGGGCGTTGTGGCTGCACAGTAAGAACTGGGCTGTCTGTCTGTCTATCCAGGTTCAATGATGAAGTGAAACATATCAAGGTGGTAGAGAAAGACAGCTGGATCCATATCACGGAAGCAAAGAAGTTTGAGAGCCTGCTGGTATGTGTGTCTGTGACTCTCACTCCCCCTGACCTGGCCACAGAGGCCCAAGGGCTTTCCACTTTACAGCCCCTCTGCTCCCTGAGGATCCATTCTCTGCCTAGGGAGGATCGATTCTTCCCAGTGTGGGGCAAAATCTAGTGATACTTGATAGGATACCTGGGGACAGTTGGAGTCGTGTTATACCAGAGCTGGGTCACTGAAAACCTTCCCTCACTCACATGATAGAGCAGAAAGCAAGGCTTTTCACCTTGGACATGAGACTACAGGCTGCCTCAGGCATGTCCTTGGGGTCAGCCCCACCAGAATGCCCTTAAAGGCATACTGTTCCTTAAAGTGACACTAAAAGGTTTGGTTTTGACCTCCACCACCCCCTTTTGGTACTCGCACAGAGCCCAGGGCCTTACACATACTAGGCAGTTGCCTTAGCACTGTGCATAACCTCAACCCCAACCCTTTCTCTTTGTTTTTGGAGACAGACACGATGTAGCTCTGGCAGGTCTGGAACTGTGGAGTTCTCTCAGCCTGCCTCTGCCTCCTGGTTGCTGGGATTAGAGGTGTGGGCCACTCTACCTGCCTCCATATTTCTTTCAGTCACAAGCGTCACTCCCCTGACAGGACATTGGAGATTTCCTTTCCCCTCTGTGACCCACAGGAAAACACAGGCAAACAGAAAAGTGTCTGAAATTCCCCTTCACAGCCCAGAGTCAACAGACACCATCCGGCAAGGCTGTAGGTGCCTCCTGGGGCAGCCAGGCTGTGGTTCCTGGAGTTCTTAACAAATCCACGGCACACCTCTTTGTGTAACCATCATTCATTGCTGTTCAGTCCTCTCCGTGGCACTAGCCTCGTGGCATTCTGCCCTGCAGCTGTGCTTCCCTCCAGCGTGGACGGCACTGTAGTCAGCAGCTTGTTCTTCAACCTTGGCATTCTTTCCAGAGCATTCTTTCAGAAATATTTAGGAGCCCTGCGCCTGAGGGAAAGGTTTTTGAGGCACTGGCCATCCTAGCTGGACTGGGCTGGAGTGAGATTGAGGGGGTCTCAGAGGAGCCCACGCCTTGAACCCAGGAGGTGGGAGGGCTCCCTAGTCTCCATCGGTGATGAATGTGCGCCCCCTGCAGGAGCTGGTGGAGTACTACCAATGCCACTCACTCAAGGAAAGCTTCAAGCAGTTGGACACTACACTCAAGTTCCCCTACAAGTCTCGGGAGCGAGCCACCACCAGGGCCTCAAGCCGGTCTCCAGGTAATGCCTGTGTCTATGGGTAACTACTCAGGCCACATCCAGGCCAAGATCTCCCTGTCCACCTGGGTCAAGAGTCGTTGCCCGACCCCTTAGTGTGGGCCAGGCCCTCCACATCTGTCAGTGGCCCTGACTCACGTCCCTTCTCATTCCATGTAAGATGGGGTCCACACTGCTACTCTGGCTCTTAGCACCTGTGTTTGGAGCTGACAGTAGTGAGAAGCAGTTGGGCAATATCTGAGAACAGATCCCTCTCCGGATGCCCTGGGGCCTTGGCTGTTCAAGGCAGCTATCAGCCTATAGGGGGGATTTCAAAACTGGTGATAAGGGTGCAGTCTGGACCTTGAGGCAGAGATAGGCCCAGAGCCTTTGACTTCTAGCTCAGGCCTTTTCCCCTGAGTCACCCATGTCTCCAGCCTGCAGGGACCTGCAGAGCTATGGGACCTTCCTTTCCCCACCCCAGACAGAGCAGACCAGCAGAGGGTTGCCAGCCTATGACAGTTGGCCCCAACTGTCCAAAGTCCTTTCAGGATGTAGGTGTAGAGCGAGCAGTGGCCTAGCTGTGCCTGTGGTAGGCCCCGCCCTCCCCGGCATCCTCCCGAGGTAGAGCCTGGCGTCCCCCTAAGCTCCTTGGCTCTGCTCTGTCTTATGCTCTCTCTTGCCTCTTTGCAGCTTCCTGTGCTTCCTACAACTTTTCTTTTCTCAGTCCTCAGGGCCTCAGCTTTGCCCCCCAGGGCCCCTCTGCTCCCTTCTGGTCAGGTACCTCTACTGTTCAGGGCCCAGCCTGATGGATCCCCCTGGCTGTGCAGCCTGGTGCTGGGGGGGGGCGGCTGGGGATTGGGCCAAGGCTGCAGCCCATGAGGACGCATTAGGCAGGGCTCTTCCCTGGTCACACGTGGACACTTCCCTGCTTCATCAGCTGCCATCCATAATGGCCACTGAGAGCTTTGCCTCTGGTTCGGGAGATGTGGGCAGGAGGGGCAGAGCTGGTGACTGCTCTGTAGCCAGGAGAGCTGCCACAGGAACAGGGATGGGTGTGGAGGAGAAGCTTTCAGTCAGCCCTGGTCCAGCATGCTTTCTACTGCCAGAGCCAAAGCCCTTCTGTGCAAGGCTGTGTGTCCCCTCACTACCATTGTCACCTGTACCCAGGACTCGTGGGTTCTGGGATGAACCAGTTCACTGGGTTTCCAGTCTTAATTTGGAGATCTGGGATGGGGATGGTCAAAGCATGGGTGCCTGCTCTGTTCACCAGTGGCATGCTCATTGCTTGTGAGGGCAGCCAGCGTTGGTGGTGCTAGCTCAACCCCCTCTAAGTGCATGCATAATGTGGCTTATGCCCAGACACAGGTGGGACTGGCCCTCAGCCAGAGGCTAGTGTCCCTCCAGAGACCTTCCCTAGCTGTGGGCACAAAGCCATACTCTAGATATCAGGGAAGAGACCCACCTCAGTCTGAGGGCCTCTAGCCCTGGCTGAGCAGCTCCTGCAGTTGTTTGATGTCTCACCCCGTCTGTCCCAATAGTGTTCACACCTCGGGTCATTGGCACGGCTGTGGCCAGGTACAACTTTGCAGCACGAGACATGCGGGAGCTGTCACTGCGGGAAGGTGATGTGGTGAAGATCTACAGCCGAATCGGTGGGGACCAGGGCTGGTGGAAAGGCGAGACGAATGGGAGGGTGAGTAGCTTGCCCGGCTTGAGGGCTTTGTGCAAAGGCCCAGGGCTGGCCTTACTGAGAGGTCAAGGAGGTGTCCCTTTGGCTCTGACACAGTCGGACTCAGCTATGCTTAGCTGTGACCTAGGCACACTGTCTGGGATTGCCTGGTGTCATGGGTGGGGATGAGGGCAAGAGTCCAGTTGTTCACTGTGATCCTAGCTACACCAGTCAGGTCTCAATCCAGGCCCCACAGACCCTTCTCCTCTGCCTTTGTGGTCACTCAGGAACAGGTTTTATATATAGTCATCTGGTCACTTGCAGGTAGGGAAGCCATCAGATGCTACCCACCCCTTCCTCCTGTTGATGATGACTACCATGTGGCTCTCTCAGAACTCTGCCCCAGAGGTTCTGCCAAGAGCCTCCCCTATCCCAGAACTCATATAGATCCACCGGCTTTGACCCATGTCTCTGAGCAACTTTTTTGGAGGGCAGAGAGCTCCAGGTGGAACCACTGGACAAACTGGATTTTCATGGGCTACAGATGCCCACAGGCAGCAGAGGGCCAGACAGCCTTGACTCCCCTACTGAGCATTCTATAGCTGGTAGCAGGAACCCCACTCATGTTGGTATCTGTGTTATAGGCCCCAAAGGTGTTCATTTATACTCAGCTGCCCTTCAAAAGAGTAGAGGCTACTAAGTCCTAGCAGCAACTTTGAGGGCTGGACGCTAACCCTGAAGTGGGCCAATGCAGGTGGAAGCAGCTGGGACTGGAATTCAGTTACTTGTTTGGTTTCTTACCAGGTCCAGGCACTTCCATAGCACAGTCTGAAAATGACTGCTTTGAGCTTTTGTGAGTAGCTCTTGTTGATATAAATGCCTTTTTCTCTCTGGCCGTTTTACTGCTAAGTCTGTCTACTGACAGAGGCAACAGCATCTTCCCTTGAGTAGATGCTTTGCTACCACCCTCCTTTCCCCATCAACCCCTACTAAACCCCTACTTTCCCGTTACTATTGACCTCTTTCTTTCCCTGTACTTAAACTGGGTTTCCTATAACCAGTTGGAATTTTTACTCTAATGTGACAGTTGACTCTAATGTGGCAGTCTTTGTCTTTTAGTAGACATTCGTAGTCCATTTATATTTAGTATACATTTTGTTTTGACTGTTGGTCAGTTCCTCTCCTTTCTGGGTAACTTGTAGATTAATCAATATTTTTTCTATCTACTTCACTTCCCCTTCTCATGATTGATTTGTTAGTTATATATCCTTTTATCATGTATGTTATTCTGGTGGTTACAGGTGCACTTTGAGTATTCAGAGTCCCTATAGGGAGTATTTTTACTACTGAGACAGTGTGAGGACCACACAGCCTAGAATTATAAATTATTTTCCTCCCAGTTTTTGTGTGGATATTGTCATTATCATCTATACTTTTTAACATTTGAGAGTAATTGCTCACATGACCTCTCTTTACTCCTTAATATTTCTTGGAGGCAATGTTATTCCCCCTTGACATAATAAAGGTATCTAATATGTAGTGTATTTTCAGATTTCATCAATTTTTGTCAATTGACTTTCTTCTAGCTGCTGTTTACTGGATGCATGAACCATGGCCACGACCAGCATCCTAAGTGAAGTGTTCCTCAGTTTCTCTCTCTCATATGACTTGTAACATTTCTTGAAGAGGAGACACAGATTTTTATCCCATTGTTAGGTTTGATGTTTTTTCACATTTAGGCAGAGACTGCACCTTTATGTTGTTATACACAGGAGGATGTCATTCATCAGTGTGACGGCATCTGTTCCATTTCATTCTGTTGCTGTGATAAACCACTCTGACCAAAAGTGACTGAGAGGAGGAAGCAGTTAATTTTCTCTTCCAGGTCTAGGTCATAGTCATCACTGATGGAAGTTGGGGCAGGAACTGGGAAGCAGGCACCATGGATGAATGCTGCATGCTGGCTCTCTCAGGACTATGCACAGCTAGCTTTCTTGTATCACCTGCCTAGGAGATAGTGCTGCCCTTACCAGGCTGGACCCTCCTCCATCAATTAACTGTGAAGACAAGTCCCACAGACCTGTCAGTCTGATCTGGGCAATCCCTTAATCAAGGCTTCCCCTCTCAGATGCTAGCCTGGAAGGCATGTGATTGGGGAACCAGTTCCAGGTTCTCACTGTTTGTGTTATTAACTTTGGTCTTGGTTAAGAGCTATCAGCCAGGTCTCTCTTCCCTGTTTCCACCTGTATTCTCTCCATTGACCTATGGTTAGTCCTGTTCTCTGTCTAACCTGATTCTTTTAAGTCATTGCATCTTTTAGTTCTTGGGTTTCTTTCCCTCCTTCCTTTTCTTTCTCCTTCGCTTCTTTTGTTGTTTTGTTTTGTTTTTGTCTGTTTTGTTTGGGTTTTTGTTGTTGTTTATATATTTCTTTTATTAGTTAGTTTTATTTTATTTTTGAATATAAGGTTTCATCAAGGCCTACTTGGCCCTGAACTATCAAAGTGATCCTCCTACTTCAGTCCTGAATCCTGAGGTCATGGACAATGTATCACAACATCCAGCTTCCAGCCTCGGACTTCTGTTTGATTTCTGACTCCTGTTCTCTGGAAGAAATGTTTATCATCTTGTCAGTTTTCTGAAACATACAGGGTAGCTCTTTCTGTGCCTGACCCAGGGCTTCTTTCTACTGTCTGTGTTTGCTCTTGATTTTCGTCAGTGTCATGGCTGAGGCCAGGTTGTGTGCCAGGAAACATGGGAAGGTGTGATTTCCTCTGTAGTATCTGATCCCTTCTCAGTGGCAGATCATAAGGCACATTCCTCAGCCTCTCTTTGAGGCTCAGGGGGCCTGGTTGAGATCTGGTGTATAGGAGGGGTCTCTGCTCTCAAGCCCTTCCTGGCCCTGCCCTGACACATGCCCCCTTGCTGTGTGTACACACATGCAGACACAACTGTCCCTGCCATCTCTTTCAGATCGGTTGGTTTCCTTCAACGTATGTGGAAGAAGAAGGCATCCAGTGAGGGCAAGACCTAGACAGGAACCACGGATGCTCTTGGGAGTCTCCCCAGCTCTGAAGTCCGCCTCTGGCTTCTCCACAGCTCTGGGAACTGCCTGCGAAACCTGCAGCTGTTATGGCCCATAGGGATGGGGAGGGTGTCCCACCGTCACCTGCCCTAGGAGGCCTGTCCCTGGGTAGATTCCTTGTACATAGAGGAAATCTGTGCTGGCCATACCCAGAGCACCAAGGAGAGGGAGCTCAGGCAATATGGCCAAGCATGTGTGGCTGACAGCAGAGCTCAGAAGCCACTGCCTGCCTCTCTGCTTCAGATAGTTGTTCAGGAGTCTAGAACTCCACTCATGTTGTGCCAGGGAGGGCTGGGGACAGCAGTGGTTCCCTTCCCAGGCCCATCTGCTGCCTCATGCTGATCTGCCTGTCTTTTCTGCTGCTCTCTAGAGTGTGTGTCAGGTCTCGGGAGGCAGGCAGGACCAGAGCTGAGCTGTTCAGTAGCATACGCTAGGCCTAGCTGGGAGAGAGAACTTGCTCAGGGCCACTGGATCATGCTAGCTCTGGAGCTTTCCCTGGCCGCCTCCCTTCTGACACATCAGGGTCCTGCTGAGTGCTAACTGGGCAGGCCCCTCCCTCATGAGGGGCCTTCGGAACGATGACATTGCTGACCCACCCCCAGCCCACCCAGTCAGTGGTACTGCTCTTTGCTTGTCAAAGCCCCTTCCCTGAGCCAGGAAACAGGTCTTCTCTGCCCTGCTGCCAGGGGACACATCTGTGAACCCCAAAGGGCAGGGTAGAATACCAGGTTTCCATCCCCACTGCCTCTTTCTCTCCAGGAGGCACTCTTGGGTCTTCTGCATTCCAAACTACGGTCACTCGGAGTCTGCTGGCCTTTGCACTAGATGTTGGTTATGGCCCTTGACAGGTCTCTCCACAAGGATTCCTGCAGCCCATATTCTGGGCCTATGGCTGGCTCAAATTAAGTGCTCTTGGGGTATCTCTGCCCTTTCACTTCTCCTGGTGCTTCCTGCCCTTTGACCTCTGGCTTGCTTGGCCAGCCCCTAGTTCCTTCCTGTGGAGATCTGTGTGAGCGTATGTGCAGACACACAGACTCTCGGCCCTTTCTCCCTTCATCCAGCTGCCCATTCCTGGGTGAGGAGGGAGCCAAGCTAGGGTCACTGTCCCTACTGGAGTGAGACAGTGCACTACCTTCCTCCTGGGGACACTTACAGCCTGGTGTCCACATACAACGTGCTGGGATGTTAGGGGAGGCAGGGGGGTATCAGGAGATGGGTTGCAGCAGGAAATGAGACACCTTGGAAAGCCCCAGCTATGAGAAACTGGGAGCAAAGGGTTTGCCTTGGCGAGCGTCAGGGCACAGGCCACTTTGCACAGCTCCCTGGCCCAGCCTGCCCAGTGCAAGTGCACACCGTGGGAGGGCTCTGCAGGCCCTTCTGCAGCATGAACCGTATGAACGCCCTCACGACACCCTGTGCTTTTGGTTTGGTCTTGTTTGTTTTTCTGTTGTACTTGGGTGTTTTTTTTTTTTTTTTTTTTTTGGTCCTGTTATGTTTTGTTTTGCCTGTTCATATTTTAGAAGAGGGGGTTGTAATTATTTCATCTAAGCCTCCCGTTACATATCTGTGAATAAGAGATTCTATGATAGCAAGAGGATGTATATTTTAGCTTGTCATGACGCATCATGATAACGAAGGACACTGAGAAAGAGAATACTCTGCAGCCCTGTTCTTGTGAATGTTTTGTGTCTGTTTTGACATGTGTGCTTGGTTTTTTTTGTTTGTTTGTTTTTTGTTTTTGAGCTGCACTGAGCAGGGTGCTGGGCAGGCTGGGGCATGGGCACTTCTGCAGGAGACTGGACACCATCTAAGGTCTGGGGACCCGAGATCAGCTGTGAACATTTGCAGCACAATGCCTGCAAGTCAGGGATGTGGGGGTCCCACAGCCAGCAGCACCCCCTGATGGGACAACTGTACATTGCCAATGGGTTTTCTCCACAAGACTACGGTTTTTACTACAAATAAACCTACGTTCTATTCTGCAGCAGTGGTTAACCTTCTGTGCCTGGGAGGGAGCAGCTGGTATCCTAAGTTCATCAGGGTTTGTCCTACGCCAAGCCTGGCTGCCAGGTGGTCACCTCTGCCTGGCTAACACAGCATCCAGTAGAGTTCACCAGGCAGCCTTACAGCAAGAGCCACTGTCTTCAGAGATTAAACAATGAGCAAAAAACCCAGCACTTTCTCCTCTAGGATGAGTCCTGTGTCATTTGATGAAAAAAACCTAAATCATCAAGTATTGGTGGTCCTCACCACCCACCCTACAGAAAAAGCAGCCTCAGGAGCGAAGCTTCCATCCCAGTCTCCTGTCCTTAGGTCACACTGCCCCTTCACGGTTACCTTGTCTCCCAGCATGGCTCCCGAGGTTCCTGATGGTATAACTAGAAGGGAACCGAACACCCATCAGCTCTTTACCAGAGCCTTGTTGCAGGGCTACCCCTGGCGACAGTTATGCTTGGAAGTACACAGTAAGGTAGACACTCGTCCACCTGTAGAATGTGGGGTCCTGTTACCAAGGAGGTGGAGCAAGGGCACACCTCCTGGGTCCCTGTGACTGCCATATGAGCCTGGGAGGTACCTGGCTAGTATGGAGTCGTATTACATATGTGGCTGTCTACTTCCTATGTGCCCAGACCGGAGACAGGTGAAGATTTATGCTCATCCATCTTTATCCAGTTCACACAGTATGGCGATCACTCTGTGAATGCTCACACCCTTGTCCTGACATGCCTCCCCAACATTTGGGTGTTTGCACATGCTCTCACCGGCCTGTGATACCTTCAGCCACTGAAGTCTCCTGTAGATTTTGTAACCAGAAGCAATTGGGAAATAGAGGGCAGAGGGAACAAGGGGGCCTCAGTCATTCACCAGCCAGCTCCTGCTGATTATGTCCAGGCCTTGTTACCCTCGCCTCTTCTGCCTTGGTGGCCTAAGTTACCACCATGTGGGCGGCAGGTGGAACAAGTGCCTCCTTCCACCTGGCATCCCTTTCTGGGATATTCCTGGATCCTAGGCTGTCTCTCTTGGCCACAGTGCAAGGTTCTGGTTCCTGGTGAGGCTGCAGCTTCCTCTCTTTGGGTGCTCTTCATCACCTGGACTATGAGGGAAATGTAAGCCTGAAGTGTGGGCACAGAAGCTCATCTGTGGTCCCAGGCCTCAAGGTCAAGGCCAACAGGTGGTTTTTCTGAAGATTCCCTCCTTGACATGGGAGCCTCTCGCTGTGGCCTCCAGTGGCCTTTTCCTTGGCACACATGTTCCCTCTTTCATGAGGACCCTAGGATTGGATTAGGAGCTGCCAAGGATCCTTGTTAACTTTGCCTCTTACTAGACCCTTGATTCTGACTCTCTAGAAACCCAGAGGTGCCCTGGGTGCTGGAGCTCACGAGCTTCGGCTGCCCAGTTCATCACCAGCCCTACCCACATCGCAGCTGTTGAGTGTGTAGGTCTTCTGGTTACCTGTAGGAGAAAAAACAGGCACGACCTGGTGGCTAGCCTACTTGGTACACTGTGCTTCTAAGTAAGAAGCATGGCTCCTGAAGTCAGAACCCTGAATTCTGGTGTAGCATGAGTAGCCAGTAGCTGACCTCGGTCTGCATGCTCCATGCCTGCTTTAATGTACTTCTTCCACATAGAGCCCCTGGGTACCAGTGCTCAGTATCCAGTCGGAGGGAATGTGCTAACAAGCAGTTGCAGTCAATAGGCTTTCCACTTTGTAAGTGGTTGCTCACATGCAATAAAGCAAACACTGTTCCCTGAAACTATGGAGTGGATTGTCTCTGTTGTTTACTGGCCAGTGGCCTAGTGCTGTCTTGTCAGACAGCTGGCCACTGTACTTTCACTGGATGGTGTACCTTCTAGGCTGGTGGAGCCCCGCCTCTCTGTGCTGAATAGTTTTAGGTCAATTTGACACAAGCCACAGTCATTCTGATAATGGGAACCTCAGTTGAGAAAATCTCACCAGATTGGCCTGTGGGCAAGTCTGTGGTGTGTTTTCTTGATGTGGAAGGGGCTGGCTCACTGTGGGTGGTTCTGCCCTGAGCTGGTGGTCCTGACTGCAGTGTGAGCAGGCCAGTAAGCAGCACTCCCCCATGACCTCTCTGAGTTCCTGCCTTGAGGTGCCTGTACTATTTGAGTTCCTGCCCTGACTTCCCTCAGTGATGGACTGTGCTGAAATAAACCCTTTCCTCTCTAAGTTGCTTCTGTCTTTTTTGGTGTTTTATCACAGCAATATGTCGAAGAACAGCTTCAACATCACAGGGCAAACTGAAGTGGGACGTAGAGTTGACGATTGATCATTCAACAAACTTCTCTGACGGGATATAGCTTGAGTCGCTGGGACCAGCAGTACTTCCTTGAGGCTGGAAGAAAAAAAGGAGAGAAGAATACGTCTCTCTCCCAGCTCCCCTCACACACACTCACACACACAGTGGATGAAGCAAGGCTCCAACAAGCGCACATATACACACTACACACATACACACAAACATATACATACACACACATGCATAGTTTGGCGGATGGAGCAAAGCTTCAGTGACTTTATTCTTTCTCCCACAGCTTATATATCCCAGCAGAATCTTTAAAGCAGTACAAAAATCACAACGTGATTACATTCTATTTTTTGTTAAGTGATCGTGATCAGTTACAATGATTATTCACAGAGAAATCTGTTCCTAGTACCCGCACATGAATGAACATGATGTAGTACAAGTTAAAAAATATTCCCAAGAATCCACAGACATTTGTAACTAAGCAACTTGTTATAGATTAACAAAATGTAAGCAAGCAAGGTAATTTTCTCATATTGGCAGACTGCAATTTGTAGTTACAAAGAAAGGATCAATGGTTTTATTAATCTTAAAAAATAATCTCATAAAAAATCTTAAGAGAATCACAGAACCATCATTTCTACTTTAAATACTTAGGGTGCACACCTACTCATAACAGTTTTTTATTAAATCCTATCAGGAAGCTGAGGGCAAAAAGGGATATAAGACACTAGTCATCACCTTGATCGCCAGCCCAGCCTTAGCAAGAAAGGCACGTCAGCGAGTACTAGTCAGTCGGGCTGCCATTGTTCTTGTTCCCCGACCTTTAAACGCATCCCTTGTTCAGTAATCAAAAGTGTACCTTTCTGAACTCTAAATAGTTCCCTAGGATTTTCTATGTCAAAGCCATTAGAAAAAACTTTAACCTAATTTCACTAACAATTTATTTCTCTAAATTCTTTCTAAGAAGGGTGGTCATTGCTAACAATTTACATCTCTAAGTTCTTTCTGAGCGTGGTGGATGAATCATTAGTCTGCTGCAGCAGCAATGCTGGAAAAAGACCAGTCATTAATGTTGTAAGTGCCAGTGATACTGCCCAGTGAGGGGCTGCATGTCCCTTAGAGTTTTCATACCTCACAGGAGTGATGTGGTGACCGTTAAGGCAGAAAGCACAGTGAACCGTTGTCACAGTGTGAAGTCCTCAGGGCTTTGCCTCTCCAGGTGCTTGTGCTAAGTCTCATTCCATGACTTCTAAAGCTGCCTTGCCTGTACATTGCCTGAAGCAATTGAAAGCTCAGGCACTCCGAACCAAAGCGGCCCTCACTGTTCTACAAGGGAGGGGCACATTCTGTTTTAATTCTAACTCTAGCTTTCTGGCAACACAACTTAAACTTCTATCAACTACCCTAACTTCCTAAAAGTAAATCAGGAATTCTGTAAAATAATCAATTCATATAAACATTATTTTATGAAAGTTTATCTTCATACTGATCTGCAGGGAAATTGCCCAGTGGAGTTGGCTGTCTCCCAAGAGGCAGTCTTATTGGTAGTGAGGGTCTCTGCCCAGACACACCCTGTTAGATGTGTGAAAAACCATAGTAATGATAAGCATGGAAAGGAACAGCAGCAGCAAGAAGCAATCCAGAGACACCCCCTCTCAGGACTGTGCCTCTCCAAGGTACATCCATCTCAGCTGTACAAAACAGTGGACCATCTCCAGAAAGTTCACCTGCCCACTGCAGTTATTCCTGCATGGCATCTACCATCTCTCTTTTAAAATTAGTTAAGTGAACTGTGTGACTTCCTCTCTGGGCAGAACACATAAAGCTGCCCCTTTTGAGAGTTCAGCTGTGTCCTCTTTCAAAAGGCCGTCTTAGCTGGCCTTGTAGATGAGCTTACAACCCTTAACAGAGGCAGGGACCTCTGGCCACTCCATACCCCTGTATTGTATGCTATCCTGTCCTAACCATGTATGGTCTTGGGGAGGAGATGCAGTATATTGACTAGAGAGACTACGGATGGAAAGGGTCAGTGTCTGGGCATGGAAAAACTTGGGGAAGACTTTACAGAGCAACTTTTTTTTTTTTTGTGGGGTGCACCCACCCACCTTCCTCTGGTTTCCCAGGGTGAACTTTGGTGGCTTTGAACCTAGGTTTGTCATTGGAACTTTAGGGGAAGGCATTTATGTGTCTCCTAGGAAGGAATTT